TAATAATAATAATAGGCTCACATATACGGTAGTCTGACTGCTCCTGGGCCACATGTATTAAAGCCTGCATAAAGGCATTTGGCCAGCATTTCTTTAAGTTGCAGAGCAACTTACGATGTACAGAATGCTGAATCTTCTACAGGTTTTGGATATAAACATCTGTGCCCTCTTATCAAACATTTCCCCAAATTATTAAGCCTTAGCACAACTAAGAATCTCTCTTTGAATGGGCAAATGTTAATTCAAATTCTCTGATTCATTTGTTAAAAGAATAGAGTCCTTACGGTTTACATCCTGGTGAATATTTAGCTCCATTCTTCATAACTGATATCATTTTCAATTTTCACAATATAATTCGTAAAAGAGCAAGAGTCTGTGTACTGTTGGAAAGGGGGGGGTGTTTCTTTCATATCTTCAAAAATAACTCATCAAAGCCATTTCTTAAATCTTTCCTTCCCCACCTGGACCAACTCCTTTTGTACAGCAGGTTCAAGCTACACCTCCTCAACCCATTAAAGTGCCACAGTTCATCCCTCCCCCCAGACTTACGCCTCGTCCAAATTTCCTTCCACAGGTGAGTTTATCTAAAACAAATGCTGATTCTGTCCCAAAGGAAGCAAATGTTCTAAAATTAAATAGCACATCCCAAAAGAAGAGTAGGCGATATACAAACTGGAAAGTATGACTTTGAAAAGGGATAATACCTGATGTTTTACTCATTTGCTGATAATTGAACTCTGATCCAGTGTGTTTTCCACATTAAATCTTCAGCTACATTAGCATTTTTGTTTGACTTGTCCGTTATCTGTGTCACATAGGTTCTGGAAAAACTGGATGATGAAAAATTATCTTGCAGTTTACTATATTTTTCAGTGGTGTGCATTTTTCATGTTTCTTTGAGAAGGCCTAATTAAAGTCATTTATTTATTTATTTGCTGAATGATACACACAAACATGTGGGCACACACACTTTATATATATATCAGTTACTGTATTTTCTTGTTTCCTGTTCCTTTGCTTAAGAGAGGAGCAGATTCAGCCTGAAAGTGCTGCTTGAATAAATAACTTTTTGAGAAAAGTTTGCTCTTAATCCCTCTATTATGCTGAAGGCAGCAATAGCCCATTTGCTATGTTTTAAATGCCTGTTATCAACTTATTTGATGTTTAACTCAGGAGGTGTCATCTGTATCTCTCCTCCTCTCTCTGTTGATTTTAATGGAGCTGCTGCCTGGATTTCTAGCCATAATGTTAACAATCATCGTCCAGTTATGAAAGAGAGCAAAAAAATGTGGGAATATTACCTCTGGATTATAGCTGTGCCCTTCTAATGGCTTCAGGAATTTTTGTTGTTCCTCCCAAAACATTTAGTGAGCTATAAAATTGTGAATCACTCCCAGAAGGGGAAATACAATGATGCCTCGCAAGACAAATGCCTCGCGCAATGAAAAACTCACAAGACAAAAGTGTTTTTCAGTTTTTTGGTGACTCGCAAGACAAATTTTTCTATGGCCGTGCTTCACAAAACGAATAGGAACACATTAATTAAATGTCAATGCCTTCCTATGGGAAACCGCGCTTTGCAAGATGAAAATTTCACAATACAAAACGACTCACAGAATGAATTATTTTCATCTTGCGAGGCATCACTGTAGAGTCATATAATTTACTAGTTATAATTGTCTAGTCAAGATGGATTGCCTAGTAACAAATAAAACATGAACCATTTGGAATGCTATGTGGGCACCCTAAATTTTTGAAAAATACTTAAAATTAATACGCCCGAGAATTCTTCACCCAGCCCAACCATATATTTCTAATACAGAAAGTTATTCAGTAGCACACTTAATAATTGCAAATATTTCTCTTTTAGTCTCAGTCTTCATAAAGTGTAGCATTGAAAACTTATATACACTTGTAAACTTAAATTTCCAAATATCCTTCCTTTAAAATATGAGTCACGTGTAAAATAGGAATAGCAATATGGATAATATGAACAGATAGTTTTTACATCCAAAAAGCTGGCATTGTTGTACAAAATGTTCAGGAATGAGTGCTCAGATGTATGCACCAGCAGTTATTAATGGTGCAGCTATTGTGGCAGGGATAAATAAGCTTTGGAGCAGATTTTGTATTCCTTGCTTCTGTTAATGTCTAGCAGTAGATAAACCGAGAACTCAAGTGCAGTGAGTCATTTATGATAGCTAATTAAGATGTGAAGTACTTTTAAAAAAAGGCATGCTAATGTGGGTTCCTCTTTTCTGTGTGTTTGTGTAGGTTCGACCTAAACCCGTTGCCCAGAATAACATCCCTATAGCCCCTGCTCCACCTCCCCCAATGCTTGCTGCTCCTCAGCTCATTCAGAGGCCTGTGATGTTGACAACAAAGTTCACACCCACCTCTATACCTTCCTCACAAAATTCCATACACCCAGTCCGTGTGGTGAATGGACAAACAGCAACCATAGCCAAAACGTTTCCAGTGGCACAACTCACCAGCATCGTTATAGCAGCCCCAGGTGCCAGGCTTGCCGGACCTCAGACTCTACAGATCAGTAAACCAAATGTTGAAAAGCAGGTAAAGAAGGAGAAATGTGTATTTTATAGCAGCCTTAACTGGTATTTATTTCTTCTAAAGTGAACTGTCGTGGCAATTTGCAAAAGCAGATAGTTGATTGATGATTTTCTTTCTGGATCAGCACAATAATTATAGTTCGCTTTTTTGTACAGCTTCAACACAGAATATTTCCGAGCAAGAATGTTTTCCCATAATTGTGCTGATACTTCTGATGAAGCTGATGCACAAATAGATGCTAAATTAAAGGTGGTTTCATGCTTATCATTGGCTGCATCTAACCCTATATATGTGGTGTATAACAGTGGAACTGGTTGAGAGAAAGTGGGTCTTAATTGGAAGTATCAAAAGTATTTTCTTGCAAATTTAGGCATTGTAAGCTGGTTTTGATGCATGCTATTTTGTATTTTTGAAAACTTGTTTCTTTTAAGTCTCTATAAACTGGGGAAGTGTGCTGTATCTGATCATTTAATGGACAGGAAAAATTGATCATTTTTTCAGTACACCTGTTCCAGTCTAATATATAGGTACTTCAAAACATTTAGAAACAATTGTCAAAGCTTGCAACGTTACTGGTAAAAACAAGTAAGTTGTAGCTATATCCTTCCGATCCTGCCAGCTTTACTATATTAATAATTTAACAGAAAGCAGCAGTGACTTGGAAATCTTCCTGAGGAAAGTCAAAGAAAAAAAAATGGAAAAGCCAAGTTGCAATTGAACATTAAGATAAACATTATGATTACAGAACTAAGGGTTTTTTGTATCTTGGTTCAGTCTTTAGCTCAAATGGAGATTGCAGCCAAGAAATCAGTAGACTGAGACTTGAAAAAACAGCTATGAACTAGAAAACACCCCTAAGAGTTAAGGGTGTGTCACTGGAGTCAACAGCCAAGATCATCCATATGTGATATTCCATGTTACTTTTTATGAATGCAAAAAAGCTTACAAGAAAAAAAATCTCAGTTCATTTAGTATACTGTGTTAGAAGACAGTTTTGTGGATATGTTGACTGCCAGAAAGACAAATAAGTGGGTTCTAGACCAAATCTAACATGATCTCTCTAAAAGCAGAAATTTCTAAACTAAGCTTATATATTTTAGGCACATAATAGAAATGTTACTGGAAAATATTACTGGAAAATACAGTGATAGTGGAAAAAGTTGAAAACAGCAGGAAAACAAAGGGAGACTAAATGCAATTTATTTATTTATTTATTTGGTTTAGAATATTTTCTGCCGCCTTTCTCCTTAAAAAGAATCCAGGGTGGCTTGCATCATTAAAAAGACAATATTTAAAAGCTAAAAGTATGTATACAAATATTAAAGAAGAATTAAACAACATTACATTAAAACAGTAATAAAATCAGTCCTGAAACACATTTAAAACAGAGCACAACAATGCATTTAAAGAACTCTCTCAGACCACCAGTTGTTAAGGGAAAGCCTGCCTGAAGGGAAAGATATTTGCCTGCTTGTGGGAGGCCAACAAAGATGAGGCCAGTCTATCTTCCTTTTGGAAGGTATTTCCAGAGCCTGAGAGCAGCAACAGAGAAGATCCTCTCCATGTCCCCACCAAGCACACCTGTTAGGGTGATAGAACCAAGAAAAAGGCCTCCCCTGATGATCCTAAAGCCTGGGCAGACTCATAGAGATGCAGTATGCTTAAACCCAAGCCATTTAGGGCTTTATAGGTTAAAACCAGCACCTTGAATTGGGCTCGGAAACAGATTGCAGCCAGTGGAGCTGGTGTGACAGGAAGGTCACGTGATCTCTTTAAACCAGCCCCAGTCATCAATCTGGCTGCTGCATTTTGGACCCTCTGGAGTTTCTGAACACTTTCAGAAGGCAGCCCCATGTAGAGCGTGTTATAGTAATAAAGTCAAGATGTAAATAGGGAATTCCCAGATCAGCCCTCTCAAGAAACAGGCGCAGCTGGCACACTAGTTTTAACTGTGCAAAGGCACTCCTGGCCACCAATGAAACCTGGGCATCCAAGCTCAGAGATGATTCCAGGAGCACCCCAATCTGTGCACCTGTGTTTTCAGAGGGAGGGACTGTAACCTTATCCAGCACAGGCTGCAACCCTATTCCTTGATCTGCTTTTTGACTGACCAGGAGCACCTCTGTCTTGTCTGGATTAAGTTTCACTTTATTTGTCCTCATCCAGTCGTATTACTGACACCAGACACCGATTTAGAACTGAGACAGCTTCCTTGGATTTAGATGGCAAGGAGAGATAGAGTTGTGTTATGGCCAAACTAGAATTTGCAATAAGGTTATTTAGGGTTGATCTGAACACACCAGAATCATTAATGGTGGTTTGAAGACTATTTGTTAGAACAAACCATATTTACAGTTAAATATATTTATTTATTTCATTTATATCCCGCCTATCTGGTTGGGTCAGGACCACTCTAGGCGGCTAACAATCATAAAAATACAATGAAAATATATAAACAGTTTAAATAATAAAAGCATTTTATTTATATACCGCCCATCTGGCAGCATACTATGGGTGCATGAAGTTTTGGCTTGTGCAGTCAGTGCAAGCTGGTGACATCAGATAGTGTATAACGAATGAGACCAAGGATGACTTCAGCATGATTTACAACTTCAGTTGAAATAGTTCAAGATACATTGTCTCTGTTTCTCAGATTTCTAGAAAAAAAACTTATTGAAATGTCTTGGTTTCCTTGGAACAGAATGAAATTATTTTATGACTTCACAGCCATGTCACAAAGAATGGGTCACTGTGCTGACACTGATGATGCTGCATGTGGAGAATTCTCCCACCAGGAAGCATGTGAAGCTTCAAGAAAATTCCAGCTCTTAGGAATTGTGGATAATAAATTTTCAGACAAATTCTTGTTATAATGAAACATGAATGAGAAAGATGTAGGATGCTTGTCACATACAGAATGGTATCTAGACACACTTTCATGGGGCATTATTGCAGAAGACATTATTGCTATAATTCTGCATACCAGGTCTCTTTTATTCTTATCTGAAGGCTAAAATGCAAAAGGGTTTCTATTATTTGTTATGGTTGCTAAATATGGTTACTTAAGTGGTGATGTTTCAGATGGTAGTTGTTATTTAGAGCAGTGTAATGTCAAGTTCTTCTTCATGATCTCTTTGAATGTGCACTAATGAATTAATCTGCACCTGCGCAGAGCAGCTTTGTAATCTTCTAGAGCTCAAGCGCATGGTGCTGGGGCTTCCCACACGCTGGCTATAACTCCGCCCCTGGCACAGAGTGTCTCAGTTCTGTTTTGTGCCGCTGCTATAGCAGCAACGCTATCTGGAGCTTGGTGTATTTTCCTTCCTAATCCTTTAAAATCAGTCTACGGACCTCCCTGTTATTTGACCTCAGCCTGTTGACCATCCTTTGGTAATCGTGAGTTTGATTTGAAAGCATAAAACTGATATTTGTTGCCTCACCTTTATGGTCGCATCGGCGCCTTTCAAGCGCTGTGTGTGCTGCAATAGTAAGGTGCCTCATTCCGACAGCCATTCACAGTGCTTACTTTTGCCTCGGCGAAGAACACCAACCTGCCTCTTGTACTTTTTGCAAGGCTTTTACTAAGCCCACATTTAAGCATAGACTTCAGAGATTACACTCCCATTTATGGGAAAAAATCTCTTTGCCCTATTCAGTCTACTATGGAATCACCGCATGCTTCTCTTTCTGGACCTTCCCTGGCTGCTAGTCATTCCCCGTCCGACAGTAGGAAATTGGCGAAATAGGCGTCCTTGGGCTCAAGGTCAACTGCTTTGGTATCGACATCAAAGCCTCCTTCGGGCTCAATGCTGAAGAAAAAGAAATCATCTTCTAAGGCGGCTAAACTTCCAGCTCCATCTTCACTGTCAACGTCTGTGTTGCATACCCATCATGATTCGGTCTCTGTAACTGTACCGTCAGGACATGATTCCTCCCTTGGAGCCAGAGTTGGTTGCATCTCCTCACATGAGTCTCTCCCGAGGCTCTCCATAGAGAGGTCGAGGTCCAGCTTGATACTTGGATGAGCCCTGGTTCCCCACCGGGCTCGGTCGTGGATGTGCCCCACAAGAAGAGGCAGAAGATGTGACATCTCAACCCCAAGGCTGATCATGCTCAGCATCAACTACTGATGGGAGATCACTCTGCCTTTGGTGAATGCAGATACCCTCCCTTGGACGACCTGCGGAGCTATTGTCAACCAAAAGGCTATAGTTTCGAAGGCCCAGGGTTCCCGATGCCATATGACCCGGCCTCATATTTCCGGGCTCAACATTGGCCACCGTATTACGGAGCTTTTCCTTCCCCTCAATACCAACCTTGTTTGGAGGATTATTTTCGTTGCCCTTATGATTGCCCTGCCCCTCCTCCATGTTGAGAACAGACAGGCCGACCTTATCCACGGGAACGATTGTCTGTTTCTGGTGCCAAGGCCTTTCCATCAGGTCTGACATCCAGGTCTCAACATCATCTGGAATCTGTGGCTCTCCTGCCTCTCTCTCCAGGTCATGTGTCGCGGTCTTGAGAAGACAACTTCATTGATGATCTCACTCACCCTCCTTTGGAGTTTGATGTGACTCGGGCCCGAACGTCATATACTCATTCCCCAGAACACGATATCGAGTTTGAGTCTGATTCAAGTGAGGATGAAGGTGAGATTAGGGCGGTTTCTCCTATCGATATTCCTACGCCAGTGTTGGATGTAGCCGGAAGCCACTCTCCATCACCTTCGGAAAACTACACGGCTTATTCCAGGCTTATTAAACGGATCATGGAAGTTCTAGACCTTGCGGTTCTTCAGCCGCCAGCTGAGCAGTTGGACAAGGTCCATGAAGATATAACTAAAGATCAAGTAACCCCGCTTGGCCTATATATCATCTCTGCTGAATCTTTTAAAAGAACCATGGGAAAAGCCATCAGCCTCTCACCAGATAACCAGGAGGGTTGAAAATCTGTATAAAACTCTGTGAAGGATACTGAGTTCCTATTGAAACACTCTTTGCCAAATTCAGTGGGACTCGACGCGACACAGTCTTGAGCCCGAAATAGATCTGCCTCCACGCCTAATGACAAAGAAGGATGGAAGCTTGACATCTTAGGTAGGAGAGTATATTCTCTAGCCACCTTCGTCCTTTGGGTGGCAAATTACATGGCGGCCTTGGGTGCATATCACTGACACCTATGGAATGCCGCACAAAGACCCAAGGGCTCTGAGCCTCTCTCATCATCAGGATGCCTATCATTGGCATGTCAGGAACGGATTGCAGCCAGATATGTAGTAGATGCTGCATCCAAGCAACTGGCAATGGCAATCACCCTTCATTGACATGCCTGGCTATGCTCGGCTGGTATTTCAGAAGACATTAAGACCAGGATCGAGGACCTGCCCTTTGACAGGGTGGGCCTTTTCGACCCTAAAACTGACGAGATATTGGAGAGCCTTCTAAAACTCTGAAAGATGCCGCGGTCTTACACATCACAGACCCGACCACAGACTGCTTGGCACCGTCTTTTCTCCTACCGGCCCTATTCTGATCGCCAGAGGTCAAAAGCAACTGGCTTCCAAGGTCAGTCCCAGCAGCAGCTTGCTAGATGACCTCGACAGCAAACCCACCAACAAGATCGGAAGGCCAAGCAAAATCTGTAATGTTTCTGACCCATCAGCACCACTACCTATGTTAATTAGATTAGTTATCCTTCCACACTTGGATAACTATCACTTCCGACTCATGGATTCACAAGATTATAGCCACAGATTATGTGATAGAGTTCCACTCCACACCTTGCATGGGGCTGATTGGGAACACAGATGCCTCCGCCATACTGCATCAGGAGCTTGACAAATTACTTTCTAAGGATACCATCGATTTGGTTCCCGACTCGGATATCCCATGAAGTTTTTTGTCACGCTATTTCATTATTCCCAAGAAGGATGGAGGACTTCACCCCATTCTCGACCTTCACACCTTGAATTCTTATATTACACCTCGACGATTTCGCATGATCTCCCTGGACAGTACTATCCAGATGTTAAGGCAAGGTGACTGGTTTGCTCTTATCGACCTCAAGGACGCTTATTTCCACATCAGTATTTGTCAAGAACATTGTCATTTCTGAGGTTTTCACTCGATTGAGTAATTTATGAATTCAAGGCTCTTCCATTTGGTTTATCCACTTCACCATGGGTGTTTACAAAATGTTTGGCCCCGGTGGCAGCTCACCTCCATCTACATGGCATTACTGTATTTCCCTACCTTGATGACTGCTTGCTGGTGGCGCCTTCTAGTGAAAAACTACTTCACAATGTTTCGTTCACTTTATCCCTTTTGTCTGAACTTGGCCTCCAGGTGAACCATGAAAAGCCCACTTTACACCCTACTCAGAGGGTCACCTATATTGGAGGAGTCCTGGACGGTACTTTGGGTCGGGCGTTCATTCCCGAGATCACTTTACACCCTACTCAGAGGGTCACCTACTGTATATCGGAGGAGTCCTGGACGGTACTTTAGGTCGGGCATTCATTCCCGAGAACAAGATTATAAAGATCCAGGCTATGCTTCAGCACTTTACTGCGGGCACCAAGGTCCGAGCTCTTCAGGCACTAAGATGTCTGATGGCTTCCACCACTGCAGTAATCCAACATGCCAGGTTGAAGATGCAGTCACTCCGAGCCTGTTTTCTGGCATTATTCAACCCTCTTTTGGACCCCCCCCCCTTCCAAGTGCTTGATGGTTACAGTAGAACTTGCGGAACAGCTTACGTGGTGGTCTCTCTGGCCCAATCTTCTCTTAGGAAGACCCTTTGGACCTCTAACACCAACAATACAGATTACACAGATGCCAGTTCAACAGGATGGGGAGCGCATGTCCACGACTTAACAGCAAACGAACATTGGACGCTAAAAGAACGTCACTTACACATCGATCTGCTAGAACTCCTTGTTATTTACAATGGCTTTTGGGTGTTTGAGCGTCTTATTTCGGGACGTGTAGTACAAGTTGCAACCAGCGATACCAACAGCAGGTTTTTTTACCTGAACAAGCAGGGTGGCACCCATTCGCAATGCCTCCTGTATCTCTCCATCCAGATCTGGGAGTGGTGCTACGAGCGCCACATTTTCCCCATTGCTGTTCATGTTGCCTCTGCAGACAACCTTCCAGCGGATCGCCTAAACAGACTACAGGATTGCATCCACGAATGGTCATTGGACGACTCGATATTCCAGTCTCTTTGCCACTGATGGGGCATTCCTTGTATTGATGTCTTTGCTTCTGCTGTCAACAAAAAGTGTGACTGGTACTGCTCTCGGGCAGGAGCTGACCTCCATTCGTTGGGAGACGCGTTTATGGTGCCATGGACCGAGGGATTGCTCTACATGTTTTTCCCCCATTCCGTTGATCCAAAAGGCTGTGGTCAAAGTACAGCAGAATCAAGCAGATGTGATATTCATTGCTCCTTGGTGGCCTCGCCATACATGGTTCTCCCCACTACATCAAGGCTCAGTCAACCATCTTCGTCTGCCGATGCTACCTTATCTGCTCTCTCTCCACGATGGCAGGACACTGCATCTAGACCTGGAATCATTACACCTCACAGCCTGGAGACTGGTCCCTGAATAGCAGATGTTCTACACCATGCTCGGAGACCATCCGCTACTACCGCTTATGCCCGTAAGTGGAAAATATTTTTGGACTTCACTGTTGAGAATAACCTCTCTGTGGTACCTACCTCGCTTGATGTGCTGTTGAAATTCCTCCTCCTCTTCCAGCGAGGACTTTCGCATTCAACTCTTAAGGTGTATGTAGCTGCAATTGTGGCCCATCAACCTCCATCTTCAGATGCTGCCGAGTTGTTTCAACATCCGACATTGAAACAAGTTTTGAAGGGCCTTAAGAATATGCATCCCACCTGCAGACCACCAACCCCCCAGTGGTCTCTCCAGCTTGTATTAAAAAGACTAATGTCTCCACCATTTAAACCACTTGCTACCACTTCTTTGAAGTTACCTACCATGAAGACAGCTTTCCTCCTTGTTGTCACTTCTGTATGACAGGCTACTGAACTGACAGCTCTGTGGGTAGACCCACCATTCTTACAATTCTACCCTGATCACCCTCTTCCCAGATCTGTCTTTTTTTTACCAAAGGTGGCTACACCCTTTCACCTTAATCAGCCCATAGTCCTGCCTACTTTCTTCCCAAATCTGACTTCAGATTTGGAAAAGTCCCTTCATTCCCTCGACGTCAAAAGGGCTCTTGCTTACTATCACTTAGGTCAGCATCCTTTCGGTCTTCCCAGAGACTCTTTTGTTTCTTTCTAGGGACAATCTAAAGGGTTCTCCGGATAGATAGTTATGACAATAAGGTTGGCATATGAACTAGCTTGTATGCCTCTGCCTGCTGCTATTTGAGCCCACTCTACTAGGGCTTTTGCTTCCTCCACAGCCTTCCTTAGAGGGATAGACCTGGTGATGTCTGCATGGCTGCTACATGGTCCACACCTCTCACCTTTGCAACCCACTACTGCCTAGATGTTTGGGCGAAGGCAGAAGCGGCCATGGGGAGAGCAGTCCTGGCTTCTGTCTTATTGTGATGCCCACCACCTACTAAGTCAGCTTGCTCGTCACCCTTTAATGTGCATTCACAGAGACCACAAAGAAGAAAGAGAAATTATCTACCTGTAACTCTGTTTCTTCGAGTGGCCATCTGTGAATTCACACTTCCCACCCTTCCTTCCCGTTGTTTGTCACGTGCGCCATATGGCATGCTGCGCAGCAGCAGCGGACAGTTCTACGGAACCGAGGCACTTGGTGCCGGGGCAGGGTTATAGCCAGCATGTGGGAGGTCCTGGCACCAGATTCTAATCCTGCTCTGCGCAGGCGCAGATTAACTCATTAGTGTGAATTCACAGATGTCCACTTGAAGAACCAGAGCTACAGATAGGTAACTTCTCTTTTTGTTTTCGCATCATTTTCTGGTAAACAAAGATACTGTCGTTCTTTCTATTTGTTTTGTAAAGGTAAGTGTATATTCTGCTGCTATTGTTTCTCTTTCAGACTATCAAACCCCAAACTGAAACAGAGGAGAAGCCAACAGAAATTCACACAGTTACCCCTCCTGCACCACCCAAGCCAAAACGAGAAGAAAATCCACAGGTACTACTACTTGCAATATTATTTTCTGGGGCCAAGGCAACTGAGCACTGTCATAAAAAAGATTTTTTTCCTCATCTGACAGAAATGTTTATTATGTTCATAGAAGTGTATTCACATTCTTCACAGTAGTATTGTTGACATGAAGACTCTCAGATTAAAGACTGCTAAATATAGCTTTTATTGTTGTGTACTAAATATTTTCAAGGCAGGATAATGAAGATTCCAAGCTATTTGTGGTGATACAGTAATCCTATGTTCCTCCGAAAATAAAACAGGGTCTTATATTAATTTTTGCTCCAAAAACACATTAGGGCTTATTTTCAGGGGAGGATTTTTTTCTATGTACAACAATCTACATTTATTCAAATACAGTCATATTATCTTATGGTTGCTGCACAGTGGTGGAGGGCAGGGTTTCACTTAAGTGGGGCTTATTTTGGGGGTAGGGCTTATATTATGAGCATCCTGAAAAATAATGCTAGGGCTCATTTTCAGGTTAGGTCTTACGAAACTGGGTACTTAGCATGTGTATAACACTTAAGAGCATTTAAGTGCTTCTTACTGGTTTACTATCAGTGCCTGTATAATACCCCAAAACATAGGCCAGTATTAGTATGTCACAATATTTCATGAAGAAGGCTGGGAGAAGATTGGCTTCTTCTTCATGATCTCTATAGCTGCCATCATGGACTTCCAAACCACCTCCAAACTGTTGCACCAAATTGTCCCAAAAATATAAATTATACTCCCCGAGGCCAATATGAACATGTATCCATGTTATACTTTGAAACCTTTAAAAGTCTTAAAAGCTGAAAACTAAAAGTAACCATCTGGTCATTCCCTGTTTCTAAACAAGGATCTTTATGACTTTATCACTTGAGGGGAAGGCGTTTTACAAGGCAAATAGTGTCCTGCAGACATTATCAGAAGCACAGTGGTGCATATTAGTTAACTACTATGTAACCCACTATGAATTTTATTTTATTTATTTTTTTTTGTTGCTGATTACAATTGTTTTTTCTTCTTCTTCTTTTTTGCCCAATTCAGAAACTTGCCTTCATGGTATCCCTTGGATTGGTTACCCATGACCATCTAGAAGGTAAGAAAAATGCATAGTTAACAATAAGTGGTGGAATCCTGTTAGGAGTTAGACAGCATGGTCCCTCTGTTGGTGTAGTGTTCCATGCAGTCTCTGACTTCACGGTTAAATGAATCAGAAATCATCCCGTCCCAAAGGACAAGGCTTCTTTTTGCACAAGGAAATAGTGAATACTTCCTGTGCAGATAATCAGGAAAGAGGTATCAGATGGATAGCAGACTGTTACATAGTGGTAAAAACAGACAAGATTTTAGCCAAAAAGTTCAGTTTAATATAATGAGTTTATTTCCAGATAAACATTTATGGGATTGAACAGTTCTTTGGACTTCCATATCAAGCTTTCAAATGTATCTGCTTACATCTTAACTCATGAAATATTTTCTGTTCTGGGATAGAAATGGAATGGGGAAGTTACTCACTATTTCCTACTTGGATTTGAAAAATATTTGGTTTGTGTAGCTTAAACCCAAGATTGCATAACTATATGTGTCCAATCATTCTTACAGTTTGTTGTGGGCTCAGAGACACCCACGTCATGCATTCAGTTGTGCACTTGGTTGTGCACCCAGGCACACAGCGCATGAAAATCACTTGGACAATTTCTCTTGCACATGCAATATTTGCAGTAGGATTCTGGCTCTGTAAGTGAGCCTAAGTGCTAATCTGTTTCCATGTATGTTTGTGCATGGCTGCAATGGCTGTACATGTTGGCCAGAATCCAGTTGGTGTTCATATTTGTGTGACTTACTCAAGGTAACTGACAAAGTGTTGGAGCAAATTTCACTCATGTCCATAGTCACATGCCTGACTGCAGAACCAATATGCACCCTAGTATCTGATTAGCTGCACTTCGCTGTGGCAAAGAAAGAAGGAAAGAAAGAAAGCCCTGTGATCCTTATGCAGTACAAATGCAGGAGCTGATGATACCTTTATTAGATCACCAAAAAACAAACAAACGATCAGTGAGCTTTCATGGGTCAAGTCCACCTCCTCAAGCTATGCATCAATATCTTGTTTCTAGTTGGCAGACCCACTGAGTTTTTGGTGCTGCCATGTTTCCTGGCCACATAGGAACTCACAGTTTCAAAAGAAGGTTATATGTTCAAGGGGCAGGCACATGCAGATTACTTTGATTCTTTCCTTGTGGAGCTGGGCATTATATCGAACCAACAGCCACCTAGGGTGTAGTTTGAAAGCCGCACCTTCAGTGCAGCCTGTGCTTTTCCTAACCTCTAAGAAGCAAGCCTGGTACAATCACTTGCCACGAGTCTTTGAGACTCTTATTTATAATTTTTCTGCACTGTGCAGCAGCAGCAGATTACACAAAACCTATGTGAACAGGAATAAGAATCCTGCCACTGTTTGTTAAAGGAATTGGACTTGTCTATGAAAGCTTATATTAAAGTTTAGTGGTTAGTCTTTAAGGTGCCACAACCTTTTTGTTTTTATTATGTTTTGCCTGATATGTTTGTTAAATGTCACTTTTGTTATGAAGCTGAAATGCACTGTTAGGCTCATTCCATAAAGAAAGATTAGGATACAGATGGAGCAAATAAAAACATTTCACATATCTCTGTATGTTGCTTTATATCTGAGGTATTGCCCTGTTTCGTCATTAATTTTGCAATGTGCATCAGTGCATATATGGCAAAGGCTCATACACCAGAGTGGATCCTGGACAAAATTGCCAACAGCAAATGTAGTGTGATTCAGAAGGTGTCAGATAAAAATATCAGCTGAGAGCTTTGTGGGAGTAGGCAGCCTTTTTGTTAAGCTGATCTGGTAACATGCTTACTTTTGTTATTCATTTTCAAACCAGTTTATATAATGCCATGTTTCATCAGCATTAAGGTTGCACAGACCATATTGAAAGTCATAGTTGCTTAGACTTATTCAGGCTACACACTAGATTTCTGGTGTGCTTGGAACTGTGTTAAAACAAATTTATTTTTTTCCTCTACCCTAATTTATTTTTTCCTCAAGAAATACAAAGTAAAAGACAAGAGAGGAAACGAAGAACAACAGCAAATCCAGTGTACAGCGGAGCTGTTTTTGAACCAGAGGTATCACTCTCTTGCTAACAAAATAAATGTCTTATTGAAAACTTTGCTTAGTGCTCTTTTTTCCCTGCAGCCAGAAAGCTATAATGAGCAAAGGGACTGTCATATTTTTAGAATACCAGTACAGCTGTTTGGACTATGACAAGGAGAAAAAAACAAGTTCTCTGCTTTTATATGTGTCCTCTGGTCCTGTCCTCATCTCCTCTTGTCCTCTTCTTTAAAGTCATTAAAGACTTCTAGTCTTTCATTGCTAATGAGATCAATTGCTGCTGCTTCGTGTTTGTTTCTCAGTTATTAATATTGGTATAGCAGACTAGTCTTCCTAATAGGTTGTTTTCAGCAGCAGAAGAGAGAGGGGGTGCAGTCTAAAGATGCCCTAAACACACTGGAGTTATATTGAAAGTAATACATCTTAAGCAATTTTTAAACAGTAAGTGGGTTTGTTTCAGTGTGTATGCAACCTTGTATACATTCTCTGGTTTCTGCAGAGTACACCCTGGTGTTTTAATATAAAGTCACATAGATCGAGATTGGAGTGGGCAAAGTGCAGCCCGCAGGCCACACACAGCCTCCAGGGGCATTTCTGCAACTCCAAGGGGCTCTCCAGAGTGTCTCAAGGAAAAAAATATTTTTAAACAAAAAATGGCCTGTTTTGGCCAAAATAAGGATCTGAGAGCAGTGGTTTTCTGCTTCTGTACCTGGGGGAAAGGAATTTCTAAAACTCCCCCAGGCCCTCAGAACGAACTGTTTGGGCATTTCCCACCAAATAGCGAGGGTGTTTTGGCCATTCCTAGGCCTGGAGCAGCCTGGAGGGAGGCTGGGGCTTTGAACTTGGATGCCAAGCCTTCAGACTTTGCCTGTTTGTTGCTGGTCTAATCCAATCTAGAACAGCTCACTAACTGTTTTGCTTCATCTATAAAGCGCAAGAAGAGTGCAGTCACGTACTTGAACAGCACAATGCATCCTGGGACACGCAAACGAGGTAAATTTCTCCTAATGACACCTTCCTGTTTGCTTATTTTCCCCTTTTCTTGGTCTGGCAAAAAAGCAAGTTTGCAACAGTAGTCTTCTGCTTCCGAATACATATAGTTGGGACGATGCACTCTGAATGGGCTCTACAGAGATGTCCTGCATGAGTAGTTTTGAGTATAGCCAAAGGGGGAATTCCTGTGTGAAAACTATCTGGGGCCAGGCAAGAATTACAACTTAAATCAGTAGGATTAAGCTTTCGCTCAGAATACCAAGGAGACACCAGTGCAGTAACGTATGGTTCCATTCTAATTCCCCTTGCTGTGCATCATATACTAAATGTAATATCTAAGTGAGATTGTTTCTTCTTTTATTTGTATTTCACCTTTGTGAACTTATTCTCTGCTCTATTAAAAATATCCAGATTATATTGAAAGACCCGAAAAGAGTTTAAAATATTTTGGCAGTCAAGGTACTCTTAAATAGTAGGACCAAAATTCTATTAACAAAAATTGCATGGACAAAGGCAGTTGTGCAGCATTTCTTCTGCTCTGCTGTGCTATCTTTCTGAAGAGATATCATGCAACTGGTCATATGCCCATTTCCCAATCTGTACATGACTGGTTGCATAAAAGAGAACAGGCCAGAGGAGGGAAGTGCTTGCAGAATTGCTGTTCCGTAGTTACATGAGTGGATTCTGGTCTTGCTTCCAATTTTCTCTTTGGATCTTGAGGTCTCAAAATCATGATGTTGTTCATGGAATATCACTGAAGCATTAGTTATTTGCTCATCTTCTGATATGATTTATGGAATTGTTTAGGTTGCTTTCCTTTGTTCAATTTGCTGCCATTTTCAATGCGCAAGCACTATGTAGATTAACATAGTATGTCAAAAAAAATCCTGAGTGTCTTCATCATATCAGGATTCCTCCTTCCACTGTGGTGCAATTAGTGTGTAGATCTATAATGTATTTGTAATGACAGGGCAGAAAGAATGATGTAAATTAAAAACGGAGGTAAGCAGTCAGTTCTGAAATTAATTTTAAAATTTCTTCATATGAAACTGGAAGAAAGCTGGAACATGAAGTGGAACAGAAGCAATCCATAGAAAAATAGCAGAATAGGGGACATTGCTCATCTCTGATGATATAGATTGAATTGTTTCAGCAATAAGCATATCTTTCTGGAAGAAATATTTTAATATCATAGGAAGGAACAGAAATTGATTTTGAGATACGTAACTGTGAGATGAGTATACCTCCTAAAATCATTTTTTCTAAAAGAAGGATATTTTCCCCACTTGCCTTATACTGTATCAGGAATCTTTCAGTGTCTTCCTTTTAAAGTTTAGGTAGTGTTGAGGTCATAAGTGAGGTATTGGAATCTTAACATCTTGGATATTCATATCGCTTTTTCCTAGATGGTTGCAGAACAGAAGCTAATGGTGAAAAATTAGATAACTTCTTTTCCTTTATAATTAATACTATTAAAAGATCCAAAAGATTTTGTGGCTGAGACACGGCACTATAGATATTTATCTATTTATTTATTTACAATATTTATATGCTGCCTTTCTCCTAAAGGATCCAAGGCAGAGTATAAGTATTACATTTGGCACGATGGTTGATATGTTCTTAGAGCCAGATAGTTGGTACAGAAAGGTTGAGTTTGGCACTGGAGTTACCGGTAAGTTCTTCAGGTTACTGCAGGGCCTAAAGAGCCATGCTGAGCACTGGGCTGGCCTTTTGCTCAAGTTCTCTCCCTTTGGGGCTTGCTTGCTGTTCAAAAAGAGTGACTTGGTCACTTTCAAATAGCAAGTTATAATGCAAGTTGTATAATTGGGAATTTTGGAACAGTTGCTTGTATTCAAAACATAAAATGGTAGACTTGAGGCAGTATGTGTATATTAAGTGAGCATGAGCACAAAGAAGGGTGAGCTAATATTTAGACAGCTTAGCAGTTTCAGTGGAGCATATTGTCTTTTTATATTTAGGTCATTGATAAAATCTTGCCTAGCATGGTAGTGCTTGAAATAAAGTTTTTGACATGTTCAGAACTACGCTGAGATTGTGGCTGAGATTGCACTGAGCAGACTACCCCTTGTCTAAGACTGCCACCATAACTGGCAGTGACCAGTTCATTTCATAGTGGGATTGAATGTTCAAATGACTCTTTCTTTCCCCAAATAGTTTGAGTCTGCTTGCAAGGAAAGTTTGGTGTGTTTTGTTTTTATGTGGCATTTGCCATTCTGTGCCAAAATGTATCAAGGACTTTGGCTTTTTGTTATCCTGAAGAAGGTATTAGTAACACAGACTTTTAAATTGGTCCTCGGTGCTGCTTTCCACCAGACTGCAGCTGTTTTAAATGCTATCCACAATAAACATTCTTTCTTATGATTAATTTTGTACTTCTTTTCTGTAGTCCTTAGCTGTTCTTATGACTGCTCAGATCCTTTTGATTCTTGCCCCCCCCAGCTTTTCCTCTTGACAGTTGATGGAGTAGCAGAAATATAAAAATTAAAATTTTACATTTCCTGTAATGCTGTGGTTTTACTCAGAAAAACAGCACATTTAAACATATAGTTTTACCACATACTCAAGGTGATCTGTGTTTTCAAAAAGGTAATTGAAAATGGAAATACTATTTGAAATATATCCAAAATAACCATGAAATTGTAAGTTCTTGTACAAATAGAAATGTTTCAGCAAACAACATTTGGGCTTATCAAATCTAGTGGAGAAAAGTGAAGGAAGCTTAGAAAATACTTTTAGACGAGTAGATACCATCTGTCATGACTGTGGTACAGATACCCTTAGTAATTCAAAATGGTAGATATCAGGGCAGTTTTTCATTTTTAAACAATTGCAGAAATTGAATAGTAAAAATGACTGAGGTACACCCAGATTAATGCTGTTTGACCTTCTGAACCCTTGTGTGTTCTTTCCTGTGGTATCGTCCTTTCTTGCACAATTCTCTTTAAAAATAACTTTACAGTCTTTACTTGGCTTTCTTTCACTAGCACTAACTTCTTTTCTGTACTACCTCACTTCCTTTTTCATGCTAGCCAATGAGGAGCACTGGCCAAAGGTATGTAAGATTATTTTCCCCCTTTTTTGTTCCCTTCTGTTAATGTGTAGGTCGTCCACCTAAATACAACACGGTGCTGGGGTTTGGTGCTCTGACCCCCACATCCCCTCTGTCCAGTCATCCTGACTCCCCTGAAAATGAAAAGACAGAGACCACTTTTACTTTCCCTGCAACTGTTCAGCCTGTGTCCCTGCCTAGCCCCAGCTCCACTGACGTAAGTAATTCCTGCTGAAAGGTTTGCTATTTGAAGAGACCGTGCAAAAATGAGCCATGCTTAATCCTCAGAATTTGTTTCGCTACTGTGTTATGCTAAAGCACACTGAAATGGCCACTGTTCTTCAGAGCCTTCCACTGCTTTTTGTACCACTTCTCTTTACCTCGCTGTACCCCAGGGTTTTACATATATTTTGTAAGTAACACAGTTATAGGATATACCATTCTTATTTATGGGACATGTTCTCTCCCACCCCACAGTGTAGAAAGTGGGAAGTGCAAGTGTAATAAATACATTGCATGTATTTCAGCATTCGAATACGAATATATGACTATTCAGCTATGATGGTTGTTGTGGATTTTTCAGGTTCTTTCGCCATGTTCTGAAGGTTTTTCTTCCTGATGTTTCGCCAGTCTCAACTATCCAACAAACAGCAACAGAGCAAGGACAGAGTTTCTACTCCAGTTCTCTGAAGATGCTGACCACAGGGATTGGCGAAACATCAGGAAGAACACCTTCAGAACACGGCCAAAGAACCCGAAATATCCACAACAACCATCAGCTCCCGGCCATGAAAGCCTTCGAGAATACATTCATTGATGAATTGATCAGTCAATTTGTCTGCACTTTAAATGGCTATAACACTGGCCCTGATGACTTAGACACATCAAATTTGCAGGCAACCTTCCTCAGATGCATTTCTACAACCCCTGAAAGTTTGGTGAACATTGGATCATGGATCCCTGAGTTATATAGTCACAAAGAGGACACACACCCCCAGGAAATCTCCCCCAGGTACTTAGAGACTCCAGAATCATAAAGGAGCTTCCTATGTCTTTCCCCATCATGCATGCCAACTTTGGTGAAGATCGGATATCGGAACTCCGAGTTATTTACCCACAAATCAGGTCCCCCCCTAGGAGACTTTACCACACGGCACAGAAGCTCATGGCATTGAGGGAGTTATATTTGGCCCCAGCAGAATGAGAAGTCCCTTTGGTAGAGGCATCCATGAGGCATCGAGTTTGTCTTCAGCTCAGCACAACATTACATTTGCTAGTGAAGTAGAGTTTGCCCTCAGGAGGACTGGAGGCAAGGAGTTATTTGGCACCACAGCAGGCTTTTTAGCTCCATCGGACACTGAGGCAGTTGGCAGCAGCAAAGTAGCGTGTCTTGCCCCATTGGGGCACTGAGGCAAAAGGCAGCAGAGTGGGCGTCAGGTTTGTCTGCAAAGGAAAGGTTTTTGCCCCCAGGAGGCAACTGAGGTTGCTTGCAACTTCCAACAGCAGCAGGAGCAACATCAGATGAACAGGGCTGGTGCTACTAATCCACGGGGCTGCGGGATTGTCGGAAACAGATCAGCTCTGCAATCTAAAGCCGGGCAATGGGGCGACAAAGATGCTCGTTTAGAACTGGAAAGCTGGCTCTGGGTGTGCCAGCCAAAAGGGTTAGATGGCCCTCTTGGCACATTTGAGTGATGCGCAGACTGGCTTTGGGTGGGGCAGAACCCAGCTGTGCTGCTACTACAGCAATTAATCTGGGGCTGCTGGTGAGCTGAGCTAATTCAAGTTCTGCCTACCTACTGAGTTGGCATGGGACTGAAAGCAAAGTGTGTTGCCCCATCGGGCACTGCGGTAGTGGGCAGCAGCCAAGTACTGTGCCTTGCCCCATCGGGCACTGAGGAACATGGCAATAGCAACGTAGAGTGTGTTGCCCCATCAAGTACTGAGGTACTTGGCTCCAAGCAGGCGGGAAAGCATGTCTTAATAGGCATCGGACACCAAGGCAATTGGGAGCAAAGTAGGCTTTGCCTATTGGGTGTGTAGTGGCAGAAATCTTCAACATCGATGAACAAGAGGGTGGCATTTGCCATCAAGATGGCATATGAAACACAAGCCTCCAGAAAGAATTAATTACTGTATTTAGTAAAGTATGATGTTTTTGACTACCAGGAAGGGCTTGGGTCAGCCCAGCCCTCTTGTCAGGGGGAAGCCAGGAGGACAGCTTTGGAAAACCAGATGATCAGCTCTGCAGTCTCAAGCCGTGCGATGACGTTGTTTGTTTTGTTATTGATGAAGAAAAGGGATGGTCCTTGTTTTTGGCACAATGTAAACTCTGCAGTCTCAAGCCGTGTGGTGGGGCAATGCCTGGACAGGCTTTTGGGCCCCATCAGGGCACTGAGGTAACTTGGCAGCAGCAAAGTAGAGTGTGTTGCTCCATCAGGCACACGGCCACTGGAAAGCAGGCTTTGGGGCCTCATTGGGGCACTGAGGTAAGTTGGCAGCAGCAAAGTAGAGTGTGTTGCCCCATCGGGCACTGAGGCACATGCCAGCCGGAAAGCAGGCTCTCTTGCCCCCATCGGGACATTGAGGCAAAAGGCAGCAGAACAGACTCTGGTCTTCTTCAGCAACATGAGTTTTGCCTGCAAAGGAAAAGTTTTTGCCCCCAGGAGGCAACTGAGGTTGCTTGCAACTTCCAACAGCGCCAGCAGAACCATCAGATGAACAGGGTTGGTGCTACTAACAACGGTTAATCCACAGGGCTGCAGGGCTGTCAGAAACAGATCAGCTCTGCAATCTGAAGCTGGGCGATGGGGCAACAAAGATGCTAGTTTAGAACTAGAAAACTGGGGATTGCTTGCAACTTGGCTTCTGAGACCGCCTGAATATGATAAAGATAACGTTTGGAGGTTTTTTGGGGGGGACTTAGAGAGGCCATCCCTCTTGGTGCAGGTTGAAAACCAGACGAGCTCTACCATCTGAAGCCGGGTGATGGGGCCATGCCCAGACAGGTTTTGGGTGGGGCAGAGCAGACAGAAAAGTTCTCAGCCAGAAAGCTGGCTTTTTGGCCCCATTGGGGCACTGAGATGAAAGGCAGCTGCAGGAGACTCTGGTCTTCTTCTGCAACATCACATTTGCCTGCAAAATTATTTAAGATTGTCCCCAGGAGGCAACTGAAGTTGTCAAAGCAGCAGCAACAGCAGGAGAATAGGGTCCGACTGCAAGGTGCTACTAATGGCGGTTAATCAGGGTGGCTGCTGGGCTTCTTGAGCAGAAGATCAGCAGTTCGAATCCATGCAATGGGATGACCTGAGCGTTTGTCCCTTGTCCCTGCTTCTGCCTACCTACTGAGTTAAACTGCTGCTGAGCCACTAGGCTTGTTGATTGGAAGGTCTGCCAGCCTACTCAGGCAGTAGCCCAAGTGGACTTTGGAGCACTGTGTTGGCATGGGATGGCCGGACAGGCATTGGGTGGGGCAGAGCCGGGCTCTCTTGGCACGGGGATGCCCGGACAGGCTTGGGGGGGGGGGAGGGGCAAAGGCAAAAAGAAGGACCCAAAAGGAAAGAAGACTCTTGTTTTCTTCAGCACAAAGGTAGTTCAGTTTGCCCCCAGGTGGCAACTGAGGTTGCACAACTGCAGCAACAACAGCAGATGAATAGGGTCCAAGGTGCTACTAACGTAACAGCAGTTAAGCCACGGGGTGCTGTTGAGCTGAGCTCCCATAGTTTGTTACAAGTTCTGCCGACCTACTGAGGCTGTAGAATAGCTAGGAAGCTGGAATGAACAGTTTGCCAGTTTTTGGTGGTCCTGAGACATGCCCTCTTTGGCACAGGGGATGCCCGGACAGGCTTGGGGGGGGCTTGAGACAGGCCTGGTTGGCGCTTGGATTCCCAGACAGGCTAGAAAGCAGACTCTTGCCTTCTTTAGAAACATCACATTTGCCTGCATAGTTAAGTTTGCCCCCAGGAGGCAACTAGGGTTGCGCAACAACAGTTGAATAGGGTGGTGCTACTAACATAATGGTGGTTAATCCACAGAGCCACTGGGCTTCTTGAGTGGAAGATCAAATCCATGCAATGGGGTGAGCTGAGCTCCCATAGTTTGTTCCTGCCTCCTCAGAAAGGCAGAAAGTGGAACAAACAGCCCGCCAGGAACATGTAACCCAGCAGATAGGGAGGGAGGCAGAAGGTGGAACAAACAGCTCCCTAGAATTACATAACCCGGCAGGCAGGGAGGCAGGCAGGAGTTTAACTAATTCTTGGCCTGCTGGTGTTACTTGATCCAGCAGGCAGGCAGACAGGCAGGAGTTTAACTAATTCTTGGCCTGCTGGTCTGACTTGATCCGGCAGGCAGGCAGGTACAACTTGGTTGGAACTTGGCCCAAGGAGGCAACTGGAATCAGCAGATGGAGTTCTGACTGAGGGGGTGCAGGCAGGCATGCAGTCTGTTAAGGGAGAAATTGTTATTGGAATCCTACTTCTTTGGGTTCAGCAAGGGGAAGCACAACAAGGGAAGGTTCACCTTGATGAATGACAGTCTCTCCACAGTAACAGGATCCAAACGCAAGTAGCGTAGTCAGAGTATGTCTCTGAGATGGGAAAACACGTGCTTGCTCTGGACGCTGGGGGGGGGGATGGAAAGGAGGTCCATGGCCACATTGGACAACTCCGGCCATATGACTAGTTTCCTAGTTGAGTAATGGAGGGGATCTGACTGGTAGGGCTGAGGGGGCTCAGCCAGATATTCCCGCACCATTATCTCTGCGGAATCCTCAGCCAGTTGTCTTTTCTCTAAGGCAAGGGCCAAAGTCACCATGGAGCTCCAGTAATGTTGGTTGTGAATTGAGCCTTCCCCAGGTGAAGTGCTTCCCTGTGGTTCGGGCAAACCACCCTGACCTTCATGTCCTGATGTTCCCGTTGCCCCACACAAGCATTGTGGCCCCAATGCCGTGCAGACCTCAATGGAGAGCTCCGTTCTCCACTCCTCGAGGTCCAAGGTGGGTGTTGCCAAGCCTCCCTTGATTCAAGGATCATACAGGCAGACCATGCGGTAAGCTCTGTAGCTGTAGACAGGATGGAATCACTTCTGCATGCCTGCCTGCAGCCTCTTCACCAAGCCCTGGTCCGTGGATGATGGGAGGATCCTGGTGCCACAACAGTCTCCAGGGACCAATCGAGGGCATGAATCAGGGGAATGACCTGACCCAGGCTTGCCATATCT